ATTAATTTAAAATAAATATAAAATTTTATTAATTAATTATTACATTTACATGAAAAAATCACAACGTAATAGTATGAAAAATGTCTGAATATTTAATTAAAATTATATAATTAATAAGATATAATGTAAATCTTATCTAAATTTTATTATTATATAGTTAAAAATTAAATATCTTAATATTTTAAATACCAGAACATCATGCTTTTTTTATTTTTTGTTAAAGAAATTAATTTTTCTAAAATTAAAGTTAAACAGAGAAACTAAGAAAGTAGCTCATATATTGATCCGTGGCCTAATCCTTTGCCATAAATCCTCTGGTCCAGTTCACAGCGTTGTTATTGTATTGCATTTCCTTTCTCGCGTTATTTCTCCGCTCCTTCAATAGCCAAAGAAAGATTTAAGATTGCGCTGTGATTTTGGATTCAATCAGAGTCTTTCCTGGAAAATATTTTCCCGTTGATCCAAACACCCTTTGCATACATTTACATTGTCAAGGTGAAGAAAAGAGAAACAGAGGAGGGAGATGAATATATTCAGGTTAGCCGGTGACATGACCCATTTGGCCAGCGTTCTAGTTTTGCTCCTCAAGATCAACACCATCAAATCTTGTGCTGGTACGTGCATTGCATTCTCCAATATCATCAGCTTCGCTTCCTTTCTGGGTCCATTTTACCGTCCTTACATATTGTTTATAGATAGAAATGGAAGAAAATTGGTGCTAGTAGCTGAATTTGGAATCAATTTACCATGAATTGAATGCAAAGTCCCTGTAATAACTAAATTCCATCCTTCACCAACCTTAATTTTTAATCTTCTACAATTTGGGTCATACTAATTTCTTGTTCCAGGATCAATTTTGTTGTTTTTCTTATTTTTAACTGCAAAAGTTGAAGTTTTTGTTACCTTTGCTTGTGCAGGCATTTCCTTGAAGACCCAAGAACCATATGCTCTTGTCTTTCCTACTCGCTACTTGGATATATTTTCGAGTTTCATCTCACTTTATAACACTGTTATGAAGTTGATATTCCTAGGGAGCTCTTTCTCAATTGTGTGGTATATTCGGCACCATAAGGTAGTTCGTAGATCTTATGACAAGGATCAAGACACGTTCCGACATTACTTTCTTGTCCTGCCTTGCTTGTTTCTTGCCCTTCTTATAAATGAGAGGTTTACCTTCATGGAGGTATTCATGTTGTTAGGTCTCCATTATTGTTTCTGATTATAACTTCATTTATTAGCATGTATTGAAGAATATGGTTTAACAGGTAATGTGGACATTTTCCTTGTATTTGAAAGCTGTTGCCATACTTCCTCAGCTGGTACTGTTACAAAGGACTAGAAATATTGACAACTTGACCGGACAATATGTTTTTCTTCTTGGGTAATATTTCATTCTAGCATCGTCTTCAGTTTCAAGTTTACTGGTTTGTAGGTTGCATGAGGTATCCTAATTCCTAACTTCTTGCCTTTCAAGTTTCAAGTTCATTTCCTCTAATGCTTGCACCTGTCCTGCTTCTCTTCAGTGATTGTTTCCCATCCTTGAAAAAACCATTCCTTTTAACATGATTTCTGCCCGTAGAAGATGGGAGATAATACTTGAATTAACACATAATGAGAAAAGATTCTAGAAACTGCCATTACCTGAGAAGAAAGGAATGCAGAGAGCGGGACCTCTCTATAGCCTGAAAATGATGAAAAAGTAGCAATGATTCTCTCAACTAGGATGATTATGATTTCAATCCTGTTCATAATTCTGGGGACAAGCAAGTAAAGATGAAGCTGGGAATCGCTAGTTAACATGCCTAGCTTTAAAATGTAGAATCCTATTTCTCTGATTCAGGACAATTCATCTCAAGACTTATTTAGAGCAGTTTTGGTCAAATAAAAAGATAAATCCATATTCATCTTGTATTTAGTATTTAATGTTTCTTAGAACAACCGTTTGCCTGTAATGAGCAATGTGCATTAAATGAATTAGCAGGAAATAGAAGCCACTCAATATATTACGACCATTTTTTAAAAGGCCTGAGCATTCAGTTTCACTATAGTATTTCTTTCCTGCCTTTTTCATACCTTTTTAGTCATAGGAAAGGTACCTTAAACTTCAAAATAAGCAATCCATTTAATCAATCCCATCCCTGTAGTATGCAGATATGTTTCTTCTTAAGCTACTTTATAACTCAAAGTTTTATTCATTAATGGGAATTGATGTAATTTCTATATCTCTGTGCAGTGCATACTGAGCATTGTATATTTTGAACTGGATTTATCTTTACTTCACTGAGGAACATTACGTCCACTGGATAAGTATGAATCTTTTTCCATGAGTTTGTGCACTTGTTGGGTTGTGCATGTATCCAGCATGATTCTAGGGTTTATCTGGTACATGCATATTAACATTTATGTGATTGTTCAATTGCAGCATGGATGTCAGGGCTCCTCCAGACGTTTCTCCATGCTGATTTCTTCTAGTATTACTTCCAAAGGTAAGTTTTTCAACCATTGTGGGGAGCAATCCAAATGTACTTCCAGTAATTGCTGTAAATATGACCCTATTTAATGGTTGCAGCTGGAAGAACAACATAAAGCTTCAATTACCTGCTTGAAGATTAGCAAGGGACGATCTCAATTCGCAAACAGAATTGTTGGCAAAGCGACTTGGTTGTATCTCAAGTGCTTCTTTTAATCTTCCAATTCTAATTTTTTTAGCCTTCATTAGGGTGTTTTGAGCCTTGTAATCAAAATTATACTCATCTTGAAAGACATACGTGTAAGTGAGATACTTGGTTTTACACCACAACAGAAATGGTAGGTGCCTTAGAGATTGTAGTACATATTCTTTGTTTGAAAAATGAAAATTGAACACATTCTTTTGTTTGAAAAATGAAAATTGAACAGTTATTTGGTTTGAAGAAAGAAAATTGAAGTTTCAGTCTTGCAGAAGCATCTAAAGCAGTCTATAGAAGAATGGACAAAGTAAAAAAGGAATTCAAAGTGCCTGTGCCCGCAACTGCAGTTGGTGCACCCCCATCCTAATCCCATCAGATACTATAACACGCTTAGATGTTATAAAATTCTAATGTGAACCGAGAAGTCAACACACATGCCTTTGGATTGAAATTACAAAGAGCATCTACTTTTTCCCTTTCCTGCTTTCCCCACGAGAAAAACAAAAGCAACACCAAAGTCCAAACCCATTGCTTACTCTATTAGCTACATAATACAGACAACTTCAAACTCTACATTTGTCCAAAGAAATTAATCTTTATCCCTAGATAAATTCTAACAACCAAATTTAATAAGAAAATAATATAATTATAATATTATATAACATTATATATCATTATATAATTAATTTTTTAATTAAAAATTCAGTAGTAATTATACATATTTATTTATTAATTTAATCACATATCATATTTATTTAATGAAATATTATAATTTTAAATTTATAATTCTACTTAACATTATATTCTAGCATTGTCGAAACGCTACATGCTCTTTTTTTTTTGGAAGTTGTCCACTTTAGCAAACTTGTTGACCCCGCTTGCTGGTAACGCGTACATTATGGCTCAAGAATATCACGGGTGTCGCATGGAGTACTGCCCTGACAACTGGAACCTTTTAATTTTTTAATTTTTTAATTTTTTATAAGTACTGAACTTTTCTTTTGGTCGCCATATGTTTTTATTTTTATTTTTTTTTATTTTGATTGTACAATAAGAGACAATCATTTTTTATCCCTTATTTCATCCTACCTGCATGCTTTGCAACTTAAATTTAAAATATCTTACTTTTAAAAGATGACACTAAATTATTTAAGTCGTTAGTGGTTGTCCATATTGATTGCTCAAATGTTTTATTGTTGGCACAAGTTTTATGGCAACTTGGTTAAGTGTATAATATTTTGATAATAATTAAGATTTAAATTATGATACTATTATGTTACAATTTCTCATTTCTTGCCCTCAAATTATACATGTTTAAAAAAAATATTTTATTGTTGTAAGCTTATAGGATTAAGTAATACTGTGTTTGAGTTGAGGGAAAAGAAAGTAAAGAAAAAAATAACACTAATTTCTCATAGAATGGACAACTAAAGGACATGAGGGAGCAAATTTTTTTCACCCTTCATTAGGGTATTTTGATCATTATCAATTATTTAAGTAACCTCCTTAAATAAAAGTTGAATTAAATTTGAATTCAACAAGGATTGAAGAAATAGTACTTTTTTGTCTTAAAAAAACTGTAATTTTTTTATTTTGAATTTGTTCTAAATTAGTTGTCATTTCTTTTTACATATAGATAAATATTTTTTTCCTATTTTAACTTTATCATTATCCCTTTAATTTGATTAATTATCGTATCACAAAAGTCTTTCTTTATCTTTTAGCTCATCCCTCTAAGGATAATATATTATCAATTGTCTCTAAATTCTTAATTTGGATAAAAAGTTGAAAAATCACCATTGTTTTGAGATAAAGAGAGAAAATAAATCAGGGTTAGTTTCATCACTAGACACCCAAAAATATATATTAAACTCTTGCAAAATTCTTCTACCGAACAGTTTGGTCTCCAAAGGTGGATTACTTGAGGGTGAAGGCAACTTTTGTTAGCCATCTCCCTCAGATGATGGCCAAGCCATTTTTACATATTGCAATAACATTTTCCTTTCTCCTTTAAGCTCTCTGTTGCGGCTTAACTAAAAGATAGTACTTAAAAATGCATTCAGTTTTTCATTTCCACAATTCTCCAAAAACATAATTAAATTTCTTGAAACATTAATTTAACAATGTAAATAAACAAAAGCAATTGTTGTGAAAAAAAAAAAAACAAAAAAAACCTGATGCCCTAATTTCTGAAAAAATTTTTTCATCAATTGGGAGGGTTGGTCAGACAGAATGTTAGGTGCTTTTGAAGTAGTCAGAGGGTTAGTGCAAAGCTGGATCACTAAAGAAAAA